GTGCCTTCGCCGGAAGGCTCAAGGACCCAGACACACCAGTGCGGTGCAAGGAAAAGTGTGCCGCAGTGCTTTGGGATAGTAACGTTTAGTGAACCCCGACTTTTAACATAAAACCAACAATGGCGCTGGATCTTCCTTGCCATAACTCAGCTCCCATCCAGCAATGCGAGGTGTCACAAGAGGGTGAAGCCGTTGGTTCCTCTACCGAACATGGTGGCCGAGTCAGTAAAGATGAAAATGTTCTCTGGGTTGTGGGTTGTATGACTCGACCCCAAACTCCCAAAAAGCCTCAAGGCCACATGTGCTGAAACCCTATAGCACCAAAGCTTCGAGGTCTGACCGTGGCCCAGCTTCTTCTGAATTGGGCCACCAGCCAAGGGGTTTCGGTGATTCCATCGGCTCGCAGTGAGCGGCACATGCTTGAGAACTTGAAGCTTGCTTCCATTGCAGGTTTCGTGCGGTTGAGAACGATCCTGAAAAGCTTCACCTTTGCTTCTTGAGAATTTGGAGACGTAAGGAATTGCTGCAAGAAGAAGCTATCGCACGGAGCTTCGAAGTTCCTGTCTTCCCAGCCAGACTGGCTGCAGCGGAGGATCCAGCCGGATCCGAGGTTCATTACCGTTCCTGGCGTGTCTTTGGAGGATCCAGATCAACTAAGCTGTAGGTAAGCCTGTGGCGGTACCTCCCCAGGCCCAACATGGAGACCAACCTGTGAATTGTTAAAGGGCTCAGTCATCTCGCCCGGCTCAAGCCCTGCAGGAGTTTGGCGGCCCAGTCCCGCCCTCCCACGCTCGGCTGGACCTCTTCGGTGCTGTTGATCAGCTCCACATGGGTGTCCTGCGCCAGCAGCTCTTTGGGATGAAAGGAGGGCTGAGATGGGGTTTCAGAATGTAGGGGCACCCTTGCTCCCTATTTTCAGGACCCGAAACAGCGACCCCCACTTTCGAGACCCTATACGAAAGGTTCCCCAACCAGGGCTTTGGCTTTTCAAGCTTACGGAGCTTCTGGTGGTTTAAATGCCTTGATAGCACGACGAGGTGCTGGCACGAGCACTTTCAGCCCTATCCCTGCTGCCATCCTTCCTTCGGACCGGAAGGGCTTGCAAGCTGCATCTTGGCTTGATGTTCTGGGTTTCAAGCTTCAGCGTTCAGGCCTTCGGAACGTATACATTACCAGGAATTGAAAGCTCAGTGGACCTCTAAGCCGCAGCAGAATTCTAAGGCGTCTTGGAGTTCGGTTCAGTCTTTCAGGGTATGGGAGCCTGGAGACATAGCAGTGACGGCCTATATTTTTGTATGAGTATGATGGGACTGTCAGATGCTATGCTAAATGCTTGGGACTCCCTGTGAAAGCCCCGTGGCCCCTTTTGGGCGCCCGGGTTTTTTGACGCCAGACGTCTCAGAGCCTGGTTTCAACAAGGGTCGTTGTATCCTCAAGTGAACGGGTTTCACGACTTTGGTGTGATCCTTTAACATGTCTGCGCCAAGTTCTGTTCTAGCCACGAACTGATGGTGACCACCCTTTACATTGGCTTTGCCAGGACGGCTTCGGTTCAAGCTGTCTCAAAGTCGTTCGTCATGACCAGCCAAGGTTGGGGAACAGGATTCGTGTTCCTCGACTGTTGCTTGCCGCCTTCGATCCTGAAGCTGACGCTGCCACTTGCAATACCCTGGCTGCCGGAGGAGGTCGACTTTATCGTCGCACCAGGGTTTGTTTGGCACTGTTGTTTCTTTACTCTGACACTGCAAGTATAGCCCGAGCAAAGCCAGCTTTCGCCGAACCTGCATCCCAGAGACTGAACCCAAACAGAACAAGAGAGCCTGAAAGCATCTTCCTAGACAATTTCAGGTGGGCGCCGGCTCTGCCGGCAGTGTGGCCGCCTCGCGTCTGGCCCGTCGCGGTTTCTCGGTGGCTTTGCTCGAGTCTGGTGGAAGTGGATGCTTGACTTGACCAGCAAATACTAGGGTTGAGGGTTCAGGGTCCAAGAATCTAAGGTCTCGGGCTTTTGACTTCAGGGTTTTTTGGTTGTCTGGGTGCAGGGTGTCGACGTTCCTGAATTCATGCATGTGCAGCATGATGTATCGTCATTGCGCGAAGGCAGACCCCGAGACTTGGCTTCGATACTGTGGTAACGCCTCCAATTCTGGTTGCTGGTCTGATTCTGTTTGCTGCTTTTGGTTCATCTTGTGACCATTGTGAGCATGGCAGACTAGTATGATGGTAGCCTTACGAGGAGACGATTACTGTGATGATGATGATGATGATTGTTGCGGTTTTTCCGAGTTTACGGCTCTTGGCATAATCTGCCCCAAGCCTGGAACCCAGAACCGACCTTCCAAAAGACCCAGTTCTCTAAGGGTATGCTGGCGGGGTGGACTCCCACCCCAACCCTTCTGCACCGGAGCAAGCCGATCACTGGCAACTTCGGCACTCATCGGTGTGCTCAGAGACGACAGTTCAAATGCAATGACGATCATATTGAGGATGATGATGTTGATGACGGCTTCGAGTATCTGCAGTAGCTCAAATTAGCTTATGCCTCAGGTAGTGGCAGTACTCGCCATACTCGTAGCAGCGGTCATCAGTCACGAAGGCAAGACACAGATTAAGAAAAGGAGGCATGGCCATGGAACTAGAAAGTTGTACCAGCGACCATACTGACCAAAGTCGTGTCATCGCAGAAATTTCATGGGTTATGGCGAAGTGTGGTAACAATAGTGACAATCAAGATGTGCAAGGAAGAGTCATACTGTAGTCATTTTGACTAAAGCAATATAGAAATCATCACGACAGCCGGAACAGAGCTGTAGTCAAAGCAGCAGAACGGTGAAAATCTTCCTATTTGTAAACTTAGTGGTAGTGGTAGAACCGTATTGATTGTGCAGGAGTCAGGAATGACAATGCTTGTGGTGGTGATGGTGGTGGAGGCTGTGGTAGTAGCTGCATCGTGTTTTGTGGTGGCAACAGGTGGATTGGTGGCCGTCGTCGGCTTTGTCGTTGGCGGAGTCGCCACATCGAAAATACCAGCAGCACAACAACATCGGTGCTATCCGCCCTGAAGCCGAAAACCCATGAACCCAAAGAGCCCGAACCTTGTGTAGAGCTCAGGGGGATCCTTGCTGGGTTTACTGCCAAAAGTGAAGTATCTATTTACGGGCCCAGGATTCAGGGTCAACGCTGCAAAACCCTAATCCATAAACCGTCAAACGCCGTCTCGAAATCTTCTTGCGATCAGCAGCTTGCCTTTGGCTAGGCGAGAAAGGCCCAAGACACAAATCCATACGCGCAAACCCTAGATGCTCGAAGTGCTAAGGTATGTGAACGACATCGAGTGGGGCTTGGGGAAAGTGACCCGAGTAACGCAGATCATCCATGGCCGCGGCCTGGGCGGCACCTCCTCCGTCAATGGCCGCTACTACACGCGGACCTACCTCCCCTTCGACCGTGAGGTAGCGTTCAACCATGATGAATGTCTTCAGATTTCGATTGCCACCACTAACACTACTTTCCTGCAGCCCTAAGCCCTCAAGCAGGACTCTAGACGGGAAGCCTCTGCACGCTAAACAGTGAAAGCCAGGTGGTTTTGAAGGCTTACGAAGATGTGGAGGCGGATCTGGAGATGCACACCGAGGATTTGGACAGTGGGAGGTCTCCGTGGCAGGCCAGGAGTCGCTCTGATGGGCAAGCCTTTTTAGACTTGAAGCCTTATTAGGACCCTTGATATGAGGTATATCCAATACTTAAAACTCTTGGGATGTTCTGGGTTTAGGCTTTGGATGTTTCGGGTTCAGGGTTGGGTTTGTGTGTTAAGTCTAGGTCGTAGGTTTTGGGGTTTCGGGAAGCTTTGGACGTTTCAAGCTATGATCTTGAAGGGAAGTTCCTCGATGGAGCCCCGCCCCTATAACAAACGCAAAACCACATTTGGGGTTTGGCGGCCCATAGGGTTTAGGGAAAGCTGTGGATGCCCTTCATGACTTCCATGATCATGCGCTGGGGACGTCGATGCAGAAGCCCGTGAAACCCGGGAGCGGGAGCAGGCAGCCATCCTGGACGCTCTCGCAGAGGCCGGCGTTCCCTTCCGGCAGAATGCCTCGATGTTGTGGCGCCTTTGCAATACAACAAGGACTAAGGTTCTTCGTGTTGGACATGTTTGGCTGTTGAAAGCTCCGTTTTCTATACTTCACATCAAAAAAAGGTTCTAGGGAACTGATTCGAAAGTCCCGCGGGTTGAGAAGTCAGGTCCGGCACCTTCCGAGCTATGCAATATTTTACCATATTTTGCCATCCGTTTGATCTATGCTTGGTCCATCGCAGTCCGAAGTGTGAGACTAGCTTGAAGCTTCAAGAGATCACGTAACCCTCGGAAGTGCCCGATGCTACGTCTGTTTGAAGCCTTGAGGCTCCGAATCTGAGGCCGCGGGAAACGGGGTTCCAAGGATCCGCAAACTGGCGGTAGGGGCCCGGTAGGGGTTGGGGCGGGGTGCCCAGGCACAGCGCCTCTGTTGGCCCCACCCAGCGGATTGCTCGCTGCCGGTCCGGCATGTCTCTTGGGCCGTCGTCCTACCACTGCGCCCTTGGTGCCGAGAAGCTGGGAGTGGGAGGAGAGGGAGGAGAGGGAGGAGAGGGAGGAGAGGGAGTCCGAGTCGTCTTGCAGGCCCACGTGGCGAAGATCATTTTGGAACGCGGCCGGGCGCGCGGAGTCTTGGTCGGCAGCGCGGGCCCGAGCGGCTCGAACGGCCAGGCGGTGGCTCGCTGCCGGCATGGCGTCGTCGTGAGCGCTGGTGCCTTGCAGACCCCGGCTCTCCTTCAGCGTTCGGGGATCGGCAGCCGCGAGGACGCGCAACGTTTGGGGATCAAGCTGGAAGTGGAGAGCCCGGCGGTGGGTGGCCACCTGAAGGATCACCAGTACCTTGCTTTCCGAGTAAGAACGCCGCTGCCTTGCAGGGAGCCGCTCGGTGCACCGAGCGGGAGCCTCTATGCCTTCTACTCCCGCTTAGGGGGGCCGAGCCGCTCGAGGGGCCGCTGGAGGAGGCCTTCGCTGGAGCTCCAGATGCTTCCGCGTTGCACCGCCTCAAACCTGGAGCTGAAGAGCTTTCTGATTTTACTCCGGAGCCGTAGCGCGGGCCGCGTGCTGGCACGCTCCATGGACCCGTCCGAGCCTCCCGGAGTGCTTTTGGATCCCTTTGCAGGCAATGCCTCGGATGTGGTATCCCTCCTCAATGGGCTCCGGGAACTTTACAGCGTACTGCAGAAAGCCTGGCCAGAGCTGTCCTTCGAGCCTTCCTATGAAGACTTGATGAAGGACGAGGTTGCCGGACGGCATTGCGCTCAATTTCTGGGTTCCTGGCAGCACCCGATGGGAACTTGCCTCCTTGGGAAGGTGCTGGATGCTCGGCTCGGGCTGCGTGGGGTGAGGGGCCTCTGGGTGGCCGATGCCTCGGTGCTGCCCGACTGGGCGCTGGCCGGGCACCCTGACGCCGGCATCCGTGCTGTCGGCTCCCTGGTTGCCACCTTCGCCGCCGAAGATTCTGGAGCGGCTTGAAAACATCGAGAATGACAAGCACCTCCATGGAAGATGTGCAGCTTCCTGACGGCCACAAGTTTCCGCTTCTACCGTGCGACCTCAACGTGATCTTCGAAATCTTCAGCAGAGAGGCCTGTGTCGGCCTTCTGGGGCTCTTCAGCCAAAGCGCAGACGACTTGTTGGACCTGGGAGCCGATATCGGGTCGGCAACGGCGTGGTATCTTGAAAACGGCATCGCCAGCAGCGACACATCTTCAGCTCTGACCTCTTTCTAGCTGCAGTTGCAGCTCCTGCACCACTGATGCGCTCCATTGCGCTCTGGTGCTTTTCTAAAGGATGACGATGGCGTAGCCATCAGGTTTACACAATTTCTTGGAGCAGCCGCGGCCAGGCATCAGCCGAGAAACACAAGCTGATCACCATCACCGCCAAGGTTCTTTGCCAGACACTTCGCTCGCAAGGGGTTGAGCGTGGCTCTGATTCCTTTAACTCCCCCCGCCATAAACAATGCCAGTAATCCTCGGTTTGAATGCTCATAAATGACTCATAAAGCCCCAAAAGGCTTGCAGAAGAGAGCCCACAATTCACATTCCGAGGCTCTTCCGAGGTCGGCAGCACGAGCCTGCGAGCCGACAGCACCGAAAGAAAAAGGTCTCTGAGACTTCCGGGTCGTCTGAGAGGCCTCCCGCAGAGAGGAGAGGGACCCTTCTCTGGCTGAACTCATCACAATTCGGGTGTTAGAGCCCAGGGTTTGCCTATGTGTCTTCCCGCAAGCAAAGCCTTCAACCCCCAAAGACCTTGACGACTTGCGTGGGTCTCCCACACCTTCGACTCTTCACAGCCCCAAACCAAAGCGCTGGAAATTTGTGTCCGGCAACTCGGCTCACAGACGAGAAGACGTGCCGAGTGGCCTTTGGGGGTGGGCGCACGTTTTTCTCCGCCGCGGGCTCAGTGGGGAATGCGGCCTACATTGGCCTAGTATCCTAAGGCGTCTGGAGCCGAGACCCGGTAAAGTTCGAGAGACCCCTGCCACCCACAACCCTGGAACCCTGGAAGCCTGGAGCCTGAACCCCATGAACTGAGACCGGAACGTAGCCCTCCGAACCGAAAGAAGACATGGATTTCTCGAACCATCGGAGGCTGAGCGACCTCGCAAACGCTGTAGCAGACGTTCCGCCGAGTGCGATCGGGAACCCCCACCCGTAAACTCCAATCAGAACACCGGGAGCCCCCGTCACTCGTATACTCGCATACTCTTTGGCTTTGGGGTTCAAGACAAGCGAAATCTGAAAACCTGAAGAACTAAACCGCCCGAGGACATGGTTACAATGCAGCGGTCGGCACTTTGGGTGCTGGCTTTTCTCCCGTGCTGTGTAGATGCCGCCTCTTTACGACGGAGTAAGATGACCTTCATCGAGGACCGAAAGCCCTAAGACATTGTTTTTTTCCTGCGGCTTTTCACGGAATCTGCCGGCGCCTGTGGCTTTTCGTGATACTTGGGGTTCGAGTTTGCAGTAGCTTGTCGTCTGTCGGTTCGCAGTTTTTGGGCTGCGGACCCGATGGGGGCCCGGAAGTCTCGTGACCGTGTTCGTCAGAGGCAACTTTCCCGGCTTTACACTTAAGGCCTTCCCCTTAAGCAGCAGTGAGGAATGCCCGGTGACCCGTAGTGCAGGAACAGATGTCCATGCAGATGAAGCTCATGATGCCAGAGAGGGCGACCTTGAACAACATCGAGGTGCAGATAGCAGGGTGCGGGTGCTTCGAAGCTTTCAATGCAGTGTCAACAGCCCGACTGGACGGTGTTCCTTTGCCAAGTCCAACCGTGAGGGCTCTAGCTGTAGTCGTGAGTTGTAGGACGAAGTTCTGCTCTGCGGTTTTCGCTGTGAGGCATCCGTCCTAAACATGGCGAAGCTGCGACAATCCAAGCACGGAGAGGGTGGGAGTAACCTGCCGCGTCCCAAGTTGCACCATTTCATTCGTGTGGCTCGCTTGAGGCTCGCAGACTCGGAAAATCCTCAATGCCTTCCCTTCCATCTTCAGCTTCAGCAACACACAGCCCAGGAAAATAGTAGCAGCAAGAGCACTATTATCATGCTTGCCAACATCTTTCCGTGTGCGACAATAGCGATGAGCAACCTGCAGCACTGTTGCTGTCGGAACAGCTTCTGCTGCTAAGCAGAGTGGTGGCGGTCGTACACCGGCGAGTAAGTAACAGCTTGACAACAAACAGCTTGAATTGTCTGAAATTTCAAGGCAGTAGCAACATTTGTTGTCTTCAGCTGCGTTTTTTCTCGTTGTATGAAGCCTTCAACCCTAAAGGCCCTAATGCAGAAGGCCTTGTACAAGATCTATAGACTACAAGCCCTAGGCCTGAACCCCAAGCCCTGAAGCCCAAGGCCCGGAACCCGGCTTTCCGTTTAGGACTGGCTTCCTGGACCAGATCCAGGACCTGATCGACAAGACCATGAAGACCAATATCGTCACAAGGCCCCTCAGGGGCCTGGGTCTTTAGAGTTTCAGGGTTTGCGTTGGCTTGAGGCTTGGGGCTAAAGGCCTTTCGGTCTTCTCTTTTTCTCTTTGCTGCAGGCTTGAGGATGTCTGTCAACCCTGCGCCCCAAAGCATCCTAAACCCTACACGGCCCTACACGTCAGAACCCTAAAGCCTGAAGCCTACACTAACCTTCGAAGGTCTTCAGGATAAGCAAGCCCTGCTCTCTAAGCTTGCAGAGACACTGGCTATAGTAGGGGGTTCCTTAGGCACCGGGCCGTCAAGGTCAGGAACAGTCCTGGCCTCGTGAGCCCACGGTCAACAGCACACCCATGCAACCACAAGGCCTCGGCCATGACGGCAACCGCCATTAACCCGGAAACTTGTCCAAAACTGGGTTTTGTGATCACCGGCTCTAAAACCTAACCTGGCAAGGCAGAATCAGACACAGCTGGATCTGGATACGGCTTGGGCCAACCTTAGCAGCCTCGGCACGGTGTTCATTGAGTGGTACGCAGCAGAAGCAAGCCAATGCCAAGATGACGCGGTCTCAGGAGCCAGTAGGACAGCAGCCACGAAGGAATCAGCTGAGTTTCAGCAGAGCAAGGAGGAGCCCCGCGCCTTTAACCTTAAATGAGACACGCCTAGGCACGTGCCCGCATCCCAACGACACGGACTTTGTAGATACGCTCGCCGAGCTCGACAAAGGTCACACAGAATGCAGAACGACCCAGGACACAGGGGTTGGTTTATTGCCATTTATTGCAGTCATTTTTTTAAATGCCACCTTGCTATGACGTATCCGATGATTGTGATGGTGGTGGTTGTCCTTGCTTTTGTGGCTGTCGTGCTGCTGGTGCTGGTGCTGGTG